GGAAAGAGATCAGTGAAATATTTAGCGAGTTCACTAAATTGTCCCAAAACTTCGGTTTACGTTTCACAGAATGCAAGGAGTTTAAAACTTTCCCAAGCAATCGAAAACGTCAGTGAAACGTTTGCTCATCTTCTTCGACAGTTTTCAGACGTATGAAATTTGAAAAAACCGAATTTAGAACAATTTTATGACATCGTGGTGTATGCAATACAAATTAAATGCACAATTAACTAGACATATAGTTGTTTCGTAACGTTGCTACACTTTGACATGACAGGTTGCCACGCATGACACATAAGAGTGATCCTGGTCGATCGAATTGAACTCATTTCAGGTTTGTCAATATTCAACGCGAAATTTTAGAGGCGTAATTAGTTAGTATTTATAGTTATATAAACTTTATTGTTAGCTTCAATAATTAAATCGAATTAAAGCTTCGTGTATTATTCCGTACTTTGTGGTTTTATTATTAATACTATTTTCCAATATTTTCAGTAATTAATGCTTTTTTTGTAATTTCGTGAGCGAATAAAAACTGGTATCCTGTGAGAAATTTGCAGCACTGTTCGGTGAACGTTTCAATCGATCAAAACGATAAGCTATTATTTTGACACCTGTAATGGAAGTTTTACTGTAATACTCTCATTAGAACCGATTTCTTTGGGATATTTTAGAGATTTTTTCTGGAATGTCTGTCCAATGTATCAAGCGTAAGTAATTTTTTTCAAATTTTAACTAAAATAATTTGCAAATTTTTCTTAAAATAAGGTGTAAATTTTTCTTAAAATACTACATAAATTTTTCTTAAAATAACGTGTAAATTTTTCCTAAAGTAACGTATAAATTTTTCCTAAAATAATGTATAAATCACAAAAAGGAACCGAATTTATATATACATGCAAAGCATATAGCGAGATATCGCTTGTATTGGTCTCTAATTGATATCACTAATCACATGACATTCTTTACATTACTATATCTCAAGATGAGAAATTTCAGGTAAATAAGTATTAAACGAATGCGAGTGTTAACGCTCCTTTTAAAAAATTATTCACTAGAATAATTAAATGAAATTCGCTAGAGCAAGGAAAGCATGGAGCAAAATTTGAAATGTCAAATGTGATCGAGGAAATGTCGTGTCGAATATTTCAGAAAATTTAACACGAACGAGAAGAATTCTGACGAAATCCGGGTATAGAGGTAAAAACTACGCTTGAGACAATGTGACTGTCAAGCATTATATTTCAAGACTCTCTCAGAATGCTAGCGATCGTTGAAAGAAGATCGATATTCATCGACTTGCTCGCAGACCGAAAGCTTTTCCGAAAATTGAATTTTATTTCGTGCATCCGGAAAATATTTTATTAATTTCTCAAATTAATTTCAATTCTAATAAAATCTGTAACTAAATGGTCACGATTAAATACCAACAAATTCGAATCATAACAAATTATGAAACCAAGTATGATGATTTGAATGTTGTGACTAAACTATAAATATTATTACATTCTTGGAATAAAAGATGATTACAGAAAAGGTAATGAACACAATCAAAAAGCGAATTTCAAATTCCTACTGATATTGGAGAACATATGGAAATAAATATTTCGTGGTACAACAATTTCGAATTTATAATAATAACATTAAAAAGTAAAACTGAGTGAATGCCAAATTTGATTGTATATGTATCAAATAACATGATATATAATATTTAACATCAATATTTTAAACATTAAACACAGTAAATACAATATATACATTTTAGGACTTTTTAATAACAAAACAAATTTCTGTCCAGTCTCAATTTCAAAATCTCAAAATTGACAGATTTCTTAAATCATCGAGACCAAGCATGCAGTCATCTTACAGTTTCAACCCCTTACAAAGATCAAGAATAATACAAATGAAATACCGATGTATTCTTCAAATACATTTCAAATCATTTTTAACGAAAACATTATTTATAATCGAATAATTATATTACTACTAATTTTTATTTATCCAAATATATATTATTTAATTCCTAATAAAATTATCGGCATCCATCTCGACGATCCCCTGCCACAACACAAGAGTACCACTTGACTCTTCGCTTGTCACTTAAAGAAGCAAATTAAAGATCATTGGAACAATGCATGGAAAACCTCAGTGAAACCACGACTACTAGCCATAAAAAATTATTTCTACACAAACGTAGTACCACCCATGCTAAACTGACACGACCAAGTCATACTATCAAGAATTGTTATCGGATACACCAAAGTAACACATAAATTTCTACTCACGAAAGAAGACCAATCACTCTGTGAACGATGTAAGACGTCCCTATGAATAGACCATCTCATACTGCAATGCGAAATATATCTTCTACCAAGAACTCAACTCAGCATCAAACCCACCCTAATAGAAAACTTAAAAGACAGAGAAATAATTTCAAGACTGTTTCAATATCTAAAACACAACATGCTCTACGACATCATTCAATACAGTTCTCCCACTGTCGTCGTTAATAGCCTGTGAACTTAACGCGACGGAAAAGAAAGGAGAAAAAGAAATTAAATTGGAATCAATTTTAAAAAAATTATATTTAAAGAATTCAAAATCCTCTTTTATCTTAACTTTTCTTCAAACGATAACCACGAGAAAAATTCTCATGGACGACAAAAATTTTCACAGACGAGGCTCACAAAGCCTACATACAGTCAAATGACGACACGCTGAGAAATGGAAAAAACGAGAGAAGCATGTTCATGCTCCAGTGGAACGATAGTGCCGTTCGATATACCTCCGTTAGTACATCTCAATAACAATTACTTTCCGCAACGTCGACGGTATTTAATTCACAGAAGCGTGCATGCGTCCTGCCGTTTCTCTTCGGACTAACCGCAAGCCGTTGGTCGTTTGCCGATTAGCTTTCCAAACTTTTCTCTGCTGCCCGCGATTCGGATATCCAGCAAGGTGGGCGTCGGGATCCATCGAATTGTCCAATAATCGCGTATCCGTATCATGATCACCCTCTAAGAGACGAGCTGTCGTCCGATAACGCGAGAATTTCGTGGAAACTCGAAGTCGTCCGAGCGCAAACATGCACTGGATGCACATTCTACCCGCGTAACTTACACAGTTATGCGGTCGCGTGCACACGTCCCACGCTGGTGTCTGTATTAGAACAGGGGCGGTTCGAGGGAGATGGTCGATGGGGGTGGTTACCGGGATTTTCAGTACGCGCGCGATCGCCGTGCCGAAAACACGGCTACAGCGTGTCCGCTCGCGCCACCCCACTGGGGATGGAGAGTTTACCCTGTCTGTGACGATCGAACTTGTTGATGTACCCCGCGGCTGAGTCTCGCGCGAAAAATCACCCGAGCAAATGACATGTCCCGAGTGGTATCGAAATTCGTTCACAGTGGCATTGGAAATAATTTGTGGAACAGTGCGCGAGTTGTACCGATGGGTATTGACTTGGGTGATACGTTGATCGATCAGTAGCCAAAAGCTAACCGTGATCAGAGGGAAGGTCGCGAGACAGGATGAGCGATCTGACGAACGTAAAATTGAAATGAAATAATCGCGTCGACTTGGAATTTAAATTGCATTAAGAGCTAGGAATAAGATGATCGTCGGAGTATGTTCATTGATGGGTTCCTCTGAGTAACATCGTACCTGGCCGAGGATCTATCAGAGATTCGTTGAACAGGGGCAGGTTCGTGGTGCAGTGAGGATCGAAAGGGACGAACGGAGTTCTCGATCGCGGGTTGTTCGCGAGTGACGGAAGATTTCTCGGAGATTAGCTGGTCCTTTTGCAAACGAGGAGTCTACGATGCCCGGGTGTACGCGCAAAGAATCAGAAAGCCGCGGTGAGGGACTTGGAGCGCGGTGAAGCGGAGAAGCCAGGAGTAAATTAGGTAGGTACGTGCCTCACGTAGGCAGGGACGCAGGTCGGAGGCAGGGATTCGTGAATAAGATCAAAGGAAAAGGGCTGGTTTCCTTTTTTCTTTTCCGTACACGCCACGGATGGACGTGCTCCACTTCGGGGCAAATGAATTTTCAAGAACGTCGCGATCCTATGAGAACACCTCTGTTTCTTGCATCTGTTTCTCGCGGCGTGGACGGATGTGCTCTTTGTTTCACGGTCATCTGCCACCTCAGGGGAGGGAAAAAGTCGACTCGTGATGGAGCATTATGCCAGGCATTGTTGTCGAAAGTCCGTGATACACAATTCCGACATGCGAAGCGGAGACCAGTGTGGTAAATCCGCGATCGATACGTTTTAATCCCTGCGCTCGAAGGCGCG